AGATTTATGGTACTGTACTTATTTTTATGTATTGTTTTTATTAGACAATCCATTTCAGAATTGATAATCGGTGAAATGCGAGACGTTCCAACCAATTAATTATGGTATCATAATACAAAGTTTTTTGACATTTTTATTTTCATCTACAATATGAGGCTCTATTCTTAAAACTAAAAAATTAAGGGATAAGAAACGTTAACATTTATAAAATTCTTTTTTCTTATTTCGAGAGCCATACTTACATCAAAATAAGCTTAATTTTAAAGATGTGTAAAACCCCATAAAATTTCAACTTTTATACCCAAAGTTCCCATAATAAAAATGGATTTTTAGAAAATTGTATACAAATCTAAAAATAATTTATTTCAACTAACTGATTACCATCAGGGATGGGGTCAATTACTTTCAAAAGAAATTGATTATATTACAGTTACTTTGGATTTTAAATGTAATTGATTACAAGCTGATTACAGCCATTTTTTAAAGTAATCAATTTCATCTGATTACTTTTCCTTAATGTAATCATGATTATTTTACATTACATTATTTTTTTTTAAAAATTGTTTAATTTCGAGGACATTTTCCAATTCTTCTGAAGAACCACTGGTCCAATAGTAATCAAACTTGGTATAGTATCCTTGGGTAAAGGGGAATTTAAATTGTTAAAATGAAGGGCAATTCTCTTCACAAGGGGAGATAATCAAGAAAAGACAAAAATAGGGTAGGGTTATTAAAAAAAATCCTCTTTTCAAGAACCACAGAGCCAGGAAAGCTGAAAAGTATGTGGAAGCATCTTGGGGTATTGTAGATTTTAAATTCTTCAAATCATGACCCCCTGGTGTTGGGCGGGGCTACAATAGGGAATCAAAGTTTTACCTAAAAATAAATATTAAAAATCTTTTAAAAATCTTCTCAAGAAGCACTGGGCCAGAAAAGCTGAAACTTGTGTTAAAGCATCCTAATGTAGTGTACATTCTAAATTGTTCAAATCATGACCCCCGGGGGTAGGGTGGCGCCTCAATAGGGAACCAAATTTATACATTAAAATATATAGATTTTTTCTTTAAATCTTCTTCTCGGAAACTACTGGGTCGGAAAAAGTTAAACCTTTGTTTAAACATCCTGGTGTAGTGCAGATTTTAAATTGTCCAAATTATGACCCCTGGGGTAGGGGTGGTCACAATACAAAAAAACTTGTTTATAACAAAGTCTCTGGGACCTACGAAATTATGTCCACTATATTCGTAATTCGTTATATCTTATAAGGAATTCGTTAAATTTATATACATGTACATGTAGATGGGGATCCAAGCTAACTTCGCTAAATCCATGAATTCGCAATGTCCGTGTTCTAATCGATTTTTACTGTAGGTATTACAAGGGGGCATCTGATAAAGAACAGCATTGTGAAAGCTACTCAGGTGAGCGATGTGGCCCACGGGCCTCATGTTATATTCAATTTAATTTTTGCAAGATAAAAATAGTGTAAATTCACATAAATTTAGGGTATTTCATTTGTTCCTCTTTTTATACAAATATATTATAGATTTTGGGATAATGAAAAAGCTGGTTTGATAGAAAATTGTTAATATTATGATAGAAAATTTTTAATTTGATAGAAAATTTTTAACTAAAAAAAATTAAATTTCAAAAAATATTTCCCAAGAAGTCTTCAATTATTCTTTTCGCAAAGACGTCGCGCACACAATTGGGGCTGATTTTGTAACGTCAAAATATACTTTTCTGACGTTATTGCAGATGTCGTTTAAGCGTAAAAACGTCAAAAATTCACGGCGTAACAAATCAGACTAGACATTCAATTTTTGCTCCTGTTTTCTCTAAAAATGTCTTACTTTTTAATGTTTCTTTAAAAACAAAATTTTATTAATTTGCACATTTTAAAAATAATATTTTATCTGTTAAAAGTTTTCCCAGTAAATAAAGAATACAGCTCACATTGGTGTTATACGCCCGGTTAAATACAAAAATACGCTTATTTGTGTCGTAGTAACAAAACTGACTAGACATCAAAATCGCTCTATTAATCTACCCTACTGCTTGTTTATAATTTTTTAAAGAAACATTTGACTACTTCTTGATTTGCACATTTCATTTATCAACTTAGTTTTACAAAAAGAACCTGTCATATAGTAAAAAATGTTTATCAAAATTTCTATCTTTTCTTGTAACTTGTCAAGATTTCGGCATATTACGGAACGCTTCTTATTTTACGAACAGGTCAGAACAGTCCGTAAATTAGAAATTTATTAATGAATGTTATGTGACATCATCACAGGAAGTTATAGAAGCTTGGTACAAATTATCAGAAAAATCCACATAGCCAAAATGATAAAATGACCAAAAATACTAACACCCGTCGTGTACAGTGTTACAAGTTACGCAATTTCAAACCCCAGTACTACGCGCGACGTCTCAGCACACCAAAACCGTATATTCCTTTTGCAATGTTTTCCATAATTATTATATAAATCAATCCAAACTTTGCTGTCACACTGATATCATATAATTTAATTTGAAATGATGAAGATTCAAAATTAATTTCTGCACTTTAATAAATCAAATTGAATGTGGGAAAAAATACAAAGATACATGGAACCCCCTAACCTTCTCTTAGTTGTTGATAATGTTGACATGGGTATACTAGTATCTGTGCTGCCCCTTTTTATATTGAGTTTTATTGCTTGTTCTGTTTTAATTTTAACTATAATAAGCCCCAAATAGTTTTTTTTAATTACCAAAGCGCTGAGGCAATGACAGCAATAATCATGCAAGCGCTAAGCAATTTGGAGAGTGTGTATGTAAAGGGGGAGGGCATAACAAGTAAAAAAAAATACCTAAAACTTCGACAAAGTTTAACATAAGTCGGATAGGGCAGGCATTCTATACATGTATTTTCAACAGAAAAACATGGAATGGTTCGATCTTACTGCAACGGAAAGTGGATGGGGTGAAGACTGCACTTTAAAACTAAGTTGTTATAATAAATGTGCATGATAACATTGTCAGTAAAAAAACCCCCGAAATATCAATTTTATCAAGCAGAGAAAGAATTTCTACAAACGATTGATCGAGACACTAAAAAATGTTGTACAGTTTATTTAATTTTCTGTTCACAAAATGCATGCTACATGCATATGAAAACAGCGTTTACTTCTTACTGTTTTTGATATTTTGAGATAATCAATCAAGATTTACATAAAATGACGACTGATATAAATTCAGGTACCGAATTTTAATAAAATACGTTGTAACAGGGAAGGGGGTGGAGGCCAAACAGTTGATATTGTTCACTGAAAGGGCACCTCTAATATATTCAGATCGGCATGGTTATTTATTAACGAAATTTTTTGACAATGTGGGAAAAGTTTGAATCAATAAAATGTTATGTTTCTATTTCAAGAGGTTATAACAATATCGTAATAATAACAATGCAACTTAATCAGCAGATTCGGAATGAAGAAATTAAAGCTTACTTAGCTAGCTGCTTATCGATGTTAAAAATGCAAATTGTATTTTGATTTATTTGATTACATCCTCAATTTTTTGTTGATATTTTCCCCAATTATATAATCGGATGCATAAAAAAAATCTCATCTTATTGAATAAAAAAGGGGAAAAAAGAGATAGAAAGAAAAATGGTAATAAAAAATATTTCTTGAGCTAAGTAATCACTGTGTTTAATAATCCTGACCATTTTCTACCTTCTACCATATAATCGGCGTAAAATATAAAGTGAAATCTTGCGCTTTAATGACTGATAAGTAATTCAACAAACCTGTTTGCATAAAGCTTGTTAATGATGGACCTATTTTTTTTCTGAATTAAAACAATCAATGCAAATTGAATTTTACACTTAGCACATAGATAATTCAAATTGTTTTTTTTTTATTTAAAATAAAAACATTAATCATCTCGTGTGTATAAAGCATGATAAACAAAATAAATTAAATATCTAAATTTAAGAAAAAAGACAGATTTATATTAAATGCGCGTGTTTCCTGAAGTTTTTTTTTTTTTTGCATAAATGAATTAATTCAAACTTAAAACCTAGAAACCAATAAAATGCTCCTGAAAAGTTTTGAAAATAAATTATGTGCACATGTCAAAAAGAAATAGCTAAAAATCCAAAATCCGGGACCGTCCGGAGTCGGGAAGACTAGATTTACCGCTTGCCTCTGGGATTCAGCGACTAGGGGACGGTCTAATCGTAGGATGACCCAGTTTTCAGTGGACAGTAAACAATGGATGCTGGTGAAGATCGGTTGTTTCTGGGATTTGATTTTAGCACACAACAAGTAGGTGAATGCATTTTATTATATAGCTGCATTTAAAATGTATGTTACTTGACAAATTATTAGTGTTAAGACAAAAAAAAAAATCTTGACCCCGATCTAAATATAAAAAAATACTGTGAGGCGGATCTCATTCGTAACTACTCGGCCATTTTCCGAAAGAGAAATTTATCGTTCACGGAAATGGCCAAGTAGTTACGAATGAGGCGGATCTAAGAGGAGGTCAAATGGGAAATTCAGTGGCGTATATAACTGTATGCTAATTATGATGATGCTTTTGTATGGTTTTAAGAATATATCCACTTTTCAATTAATGACACAAGAAGGTATATTTTCCTTTTTATACAGATCAAGGCTGAAGCAATAAATGACTCTCTACAACTTGTAAATGAAACAGCAGTCAAGTTTGACTCGGATCTTCCAGAATTCAAGTAAGTAAAAACTAGAATGTTTATATTGATTAACTTTTTATAAATAAGTATTTTTTTCTCTTCCCTGGTTTGTACTTCTATAACTATAAGTGTATCAAACATAATGTTATCTACAGTCAAACATTCTTATTTAGAACTCAAGGAAACTATGGCAATACAACTGTTAAATTGTCAGAAAATTAAGGATAATGAGTTTGAAATTAAAATTTCTAGTGTTAAAATATTTTATAGAGTGTATGGAATATTGTTTTAGAACTCATGGAGGAGTGCACATCCACAACGATAATGTCACAGTTACTGCCCCTACTATCATGTGGGTCAAGGTAAGATTACCTGTCATTTAAAGGGTCTTAAGTTACTGTAGCAGATATGTTTACTTAAAATTAATTTTAGGACCACCACATAGTATACTAATAAAATATTTTCCATAACACTATTGAAAATATTTCCAATGTTCCTGAGATATTTGATAAAGGAAAAATATCTCTTATTTCTGTATTTGGGTAATTTTTTGACATCTAATTATTAAAATATTAGGAACAAGAATTGAGAAATGGTTTAATTTAGTTATTTACATTGTAAGCTTTGTATATATAGTACGAGGGTTGATCCAAAAGTAATGTCACTGTGTCAATATCTTTAATATTTGGCGTCATGTTATCAAATATTATATAACAAAAGATGCACACAAAAAATCTGATCAAAATTGAAAATTTCATTTAAAAATGTTTAATTGAATTAATTTTATAGGCGTTTAGAATATTAAATATAAGAGGTGTCGCCGTGTCACAACTAAATGTCACATTTTAAAGTGTAAATTGTTAGAATGAATAAAGACAAACACATTAAAAAGCATCTGTTAAAGCGTTTAATCGCCCAATATTTTAAAAGACAAAATTTTACGACATTTTCTAGCCTTAAGGTCATATGCAATAGTTTGAACTTTATTGGATTCTTCCCTGGAGTTGAAGAGTTCCACTAAACATGCTAAATGAAGGACATGTGTGCAATACTTTTAATGTCTATGTATGGATTTGCACACCTCTTCTTCAACAATTTTTGATGAAAAAAATCTGTAATTTATGTTTTGTATTTTTTGTACATTTTTCTTTGAGTAATGCAAAATTTTTCACAATTTGATATCTTTTCAAAACCCCTGGTAACGCATGCTGATTTTTTTTGTCTAGGAACATGTAATGGTATCATAAGTTTAAATTTAGAATATCTTGAAAAAATTATCCGTAGGTAAGGTACCTTGCGTATGTCCTTAAGTTGAAAAAAAGATGGCGTCATTTTTTTATCATAAATATTTTTGTTTTAATCAGCTAATATTGAACAAATGAAATGTCGATCTTGAGAAAACTGCTAAAACGAGCTGTAATGTGTTTTGCTTCATAATGGGGAAATCGCCTGTAAAAAAAAGTTAAGATGATTAATCAAAGTCACGGAGGAGAAAATGTAAACAAGATACTTAAGGTAAGTCAATCGTCAGCTTCTTAGAAAAGTTCATGCAGAACCTCTTACTTAAAAAATATTTATTAAAATTTAATTTTTATAAAATATTTATAATCAACAATGTAAATTTTTTTAACATTCATTGAAAAAACTGCTTAAAAATCTACAAAGAAGCAAGATTTATGAGGGACTAATTCCTGTGGTGAAAGGATATTCAGCAGAAATTTCTGCAAATCTGCACATTTATTAAATTCAATGTCTTGAAACTTTAGCCTCACATACTTTTACTCGGAGAATATTTTCCGTTGTGATTTTGCAGGAATATTTAATATAGGTCTTAATTCATATTTTTAGAACAAGTTTTACACCTTCCCTCAATAAACTTTGCCAAGAAATGAAGATATATTAAAGAAGTCAAGATAAAATTTACACCATTTTTTGCCTGAAAATCACATATTTTGACCAATATTTCACAATTAACATCACTGACCCCAACTTTTTCTTTCATTATTTTAAACTACTCGATACTTGTGACTGATCAGCACTTAACTCCTAAAAAGTTTGATGTAAGAAAATGTTTTATTGCCTATTTAGTTTTTTAATACCCCAAATATGTTATTTTTTAGTGCAAAAAGGTCACACAATAATAAACGCGCATTAATTTGCAAGATTTGTTCAATGATAAATATTATTCAAACTATTTTATGTAAAATAAGATTAAATATATTAACGTAGTAACATCTGATGAAATAAAATTAGAGATAAAGTAATAAATCAAAGAGTTAAATCTTAAGTGCGAAAAGGTCAACTTAATTGTACCATAGATCAGTAAGATGCACACTGACCCCCTATTTTCTTTGCGATTTTGAGTCATACTATATGAGTACTTATCCAAAATATACTTCCCAAAAAATCCTTGATTTAAAAATTTGACGAGTGACTTACCTTAATTATAGATTGTTTCTGCGATTTTTAGCGGGTCATGGTTCACTGAATGATAAGCAGAGGACATAAAAACCGAGAAGGGGAGGTCGGGTGGAAACGTTCAGTGGTGTCTGACCTTGTCCAAAAAGAGAAACGGTTAGAGCGATATAAGAAACTTAAAGTTTGTCTTATGGTACTACTCAAAGAATTTTGACCAATGTCTGAATTATGTATAAAGTGAGTGTACAATGGGTACCAAAAATTCTTTTTAAAAGAGAAATATATGTGAATGTGTTCGTTAATCTCAAATATTATTAATGAAACGAAGGGGAAGGGCCTAAGTGTATGACAGCGCGTATCCATCTTCTGACGTTATTTAGTTTCCGCGACTAGCATAATTTCTCTTTGTATATAATTTGATATTTTGAAAAGTATAAATCATTTTCATTTGATTTTTCAGGACTGATTTGTAATAAATGTATCTTCGATCATATCATGTAAAACTTCATTCAACGCATTCCAAAATCAAAACAGAAAATCTTTTTTTCTGTTTTAAGCATTTTGCCCTTAGGTATTGACAAAACTCAATAAATAACACAGTTTACAAGATATTTATTGGTGAATATCAAACGTTTAAAGAACGCAAACCATCGTTTACATAGCTAGATTTTACGGAGTAAATTTCCTCCCAAAAACTATCACTGAAACAGTTTTCACTACCACATTACAATTTGAAAAAGGCAAAAATCTACAGGGTAAATTTCCTCTCAAAAATGACACTGATACGGTTAACATACAGTAGTCAATTCAAAAGCGACTATCCTTGATATAACAAGATTTTACGGAGTAAATTTCCTCCCAAAGAATATCACTGATACAGTATTCACTACAACAAATACAATTTGAAAATAGCAAAAAATCTACAGAGTAAATTTCCTCTCTAAATTCACATTGGTGCATTGTACATTCAGTATTTCAAAGCCAAAGCATATATCGTTTACATAGCTAGATTATACAGAGTAAATTTCCTCCCAAAGAATATCACTGATCGGTGTTCACCACAACAATTACAATTTGAAAATAGCAAAAATCTACAGGGTAAATTTCCTCTCTAAATTAACATTGGTTCATTGCATATTCAGTATTTCATGCCAAAGCAACCATCGTTTACATAGCTAGATTTTACGGAGTAAATTTCCTCCCAAAGAATATCACTGATGCAGTGTTCACCACTACATTTCAAAATAGACAAAAACTCTACAGAGTAAATTTCCTCCCTAAATTCACATTAGTGCATTGTACATTCAGTATTTCAAAGCCAAAGCAACCATCGTTTACATAGATAGCTTGATTTTACGGAGTAAATTTCCTCCCAAAGAATATCACTGATACAGTGTTCACCACTACAAATACAATTTGAAAATAGCAAAAATCTACAGGGTAAATTTCCTCTCTAAATTCACATTGGTTAATTGCACATTCAGTATTTCAAAGCAAAAGAAACCATCGTTTACATAGCTAGATTTTATGGAGTAAATTTAATCCCAAAGAATATCACTGATACGGTGTTCACCACTACATTTCAAAATAGAAAGAACTCTACAGAGTAAATTTCCTCTCAAAATGCACGTTGGTGCATTGTACATTCAGTATTTCAAAGCCAAAGCAACCATCGTTTACACAGCTAGATTTTACGGAGTAAATTTCCTCCCAAAGACTATCACTGATATAGTGTTCACAACTACATTACAATATGAAAATAGCAAAAATCTAGAGAGTAAATTTCCTCTCAAAATGACATTCATACAGTAAACATACAGTAGTCAATTCAAAAGCAAATAGCCTTTATATAACAAAACTTTACGGGGTAAATTTCCTCCCAATGAATTTCACTGATACAGTGTTCACTACTAACATTACAGTTTGGTAATAAAAATCTACAGACTGAGTAAATTTCCTCTCTAAATTCATATTGGTGCAATGTACATTCATTGAAAGCCAACGCAACCATCGTTTACATAGCTTGTAGATTTTACGGAGTAAATTTCCTCCCAAAGAATATCACTCATACAGTGTTTACTACTACAATTAAAATTTGAAATTAGCAAAAAAGTAAGTGTCCTTTCAAAAATGACATTGATACAGTGTATATTGGGTCTTTTAGACAGCTTAACTTTACGGAGTAAATACCCCCCCCCCCCAAAAAAAAAAGTATAGCACTGATACATGTGTACAGCTTTCAATATATCTATAAAACGTTAACATTTTCAAGTTAACAAAATCTACAGAGTAAATTTCCTCTCAAAAATGAGATTGGTGCATCGTACATTCAGTATTTGAAACCGAACCGTATTTGATTTTACACCATGTTTACGGAATAAATTTCCTCCCAAAGAATATCAGTGATACAGTGCTACCTACTAACATTTACAGTTTGAAAATAGAAAAAATCTAAATGGGGTTAATTTCCTCTTTAAATTCACATTGGTTCATTTCACATTCAGCATTTCAAAGCATAAGCAACCATCATTAACATACTAGATTTTACAGTCATTATTCGCAGTAAGAAAATAAACATTATATATAGAAAACAGCAGAACACCAGAGGGTTAATTTCCTCTAAAAATAAATTGATATAATATACCCTTTTTACAGGAAAGAAACATACATGTTACATCTTATTGAAAAAAAGACTTTCGAGGGACATTTTTATCTCAATATACTAATGACATTATTATTTAATCTATAAATAAACAACATATAATCCATACAAACGCATACAGTTTTTGACTGATTTCAAGCCGTATTCAACAAGCGGAGGGGGTTCAATGTTGTTAGCATGTTGACGTCACAAACAATATCTCAAAGTACGTTGAAAATTGTATTGTCCAGTCTATATCCGAGAAGGAAAAAATGGAGAAGGAGGCAAGTTCCTCTCTTGATT